GTGTGTGTGTGTGTGTGTGTGTGAGAGAGAGTGTGAGTGAGCGTGTGTGTGTGTGTGTGTGAGAGAGTGAGAGTGTGTGTGTGAGTGTATGAGTGTGAGAGCGTGTGTGTGTGTGTGAGAGTGAGTGTGTGTGTGTGTGTGTGTGTGTGAGTGAGTGAGTGAGTGTAACGGTATAGTGAGGAGTAAAAATAGTGAACGAGGGTCTTATCAGGAGTGTCTTCATCAGGAATGACAGATCAGCGATCAAACTTCATGATAATCTGACTTAAGGTTAACACTGGCTTCATAGACGAAACTCTGGACTTTTGGTAGTACCTAGGATAGCAAAGTCCACTAAAGGAGGTAGAGCTTTTTCGCATTTGGCTCCCAAACTCTGGAATAGCCTTCCTGATACCGTTCGGGGTTCAGACACACTCTCTCTGTTTAAATCTAGATTAAAGATTGACATCCCATGGAAACTAGGATTTACACAAGCTTCAGTCTGGATCCAGAACACCTGAGAAGAGATGATGCAAGCCCTCAGAGGACCTCAGATGATGCCAACCCTGAAACAACATACACAACTACCACATTTTGCTATAAGTTTGATTGCAACATATAATAATTGTGGAAATAACATTTATAGTCAATCATTGCTTATTATTATAATATTACAGTTATCATTATAGTTATTGCTGTAGTTATTGTTATATTATCATTATGGTTATGAGTAGTTATCGCTATAGTAATTGTTATATTTATGGTTATCAGTAGTTATTGCTATAGTTATTGTTATATTTATCATTATTGTTATCTGTAGTTTTTTCATAGTTATCACAATAGTTATTGTTTTATTATCATTATGGTTACTGGTAGTTATTGTTATAGTTATCGCTGACGACACGTCAGGAAGATCACCGATGAAACATCATGAGCACCACTGCAAACATGAGATTCATTTATACAACAGTTAAATTAACAAGAAGTTCATATTGTTACATTTTAGACACAATATCGTCTGTTTTGCTCAGTTTCGCAAATGAAAATAGTTGAAAGCCACAGCAGAACTGTTGAGCATCTCTGATCAGCACACAGCGGTGATTCTTACTGAATGAATCAGACTCATTTATAAAGCTTCATTTCTGAATGAAATAGGCTGTTTGAATGAATCTGTTGAATGAATGACTCAATGACAGGCACTTGCCACCGTATTTCAATAATCATTTAAAAATGAACATTAATATTCAGTTTATTATCACTATTCATGCCAAGTTGAATGAAAACATTTCTTTCTACTGCTACTTTTTCAGTGCTGTAAATGATCTTTTGGAGGGTAATTTGATACGAGATTAATTTGCGATTAATTTAATAATTAATTGGCACATCGTGTAATTTATTAGGTTAAAAATTTTAATTGCTTGACCGTTTACCGCAGTGAAATTATGGTAATGCTTTTACTGACAATCAAAAGTTACATGTATTAGTATTAATAACTAGAGTAATGATGCTGATGTTTTGATTTGCACCAGTAAACAGTGTAAAGCCAGTTGTTTTATGTGCGCACATACTGAGACTCATTTCTCCTCTCCTGATGAACACAGACACCAAACTGAAGCCAATAATGACCCGAGACCTCATTACATCAAACAATACACAATTACATGCGACCGCAAACAGTTCCTTAAACTGTGAATAAAAATAAGAGAGGCAAAAGAGAAGTGCACATCCTCTTCTTCCTCTTTTAATCAGAACGTTTCGTTTCCTAAAGACATAAAGCTGTTTGTGTGGATGCAGAAGATCTGCTGTCATACGCACTGAAGACGTGAGAACACCGGAGACTCAAGTCTGACCACAAACACACACGTCTGAGTCTGAGAGTAAACGCAGCAGCAGACACCTTTCTCTCGCTGACATAATGTGATGTCTGAGTTCTTGCATTGAGCATTTCTTTAAAAAGCAATCATCAATTCTAAACTGGTTTTGAGGAGTAGTACACCATACGGTCAAAAATCTCACTGGATTATTACAATTAATGTTTGGAAATCTATCAGTAATTAGAAAGCAATCCTGCCCCTCGTCAGTGGAAATTAATATTAGCTTCAGTGCCAACACCTACAGAACCAGGATGAAGAAGAAGAAACAAGGCTGGACAGTGATCCCAAACACCCAAATCCAAATAAGATTTGAAGACTGTTTGTGTGGAAGAATGAGCCAAACTCACACCTGAGCAATGCATGAACTCATAAGCATAAACTCACTTCAATTAAAAAAAGAAAAAAATATGAAAAACATAAATAAATAAAATATATAAGAAAAAATAATCAAAGTAAGAGTTATAATGTCCTGTTATTTTGCTTCTCTAGTAAATGCATCTTAATTTAAGAATATTAAATGTAGATATTTGTACTGGAAAACAAAAACACATTTTTTTTTTTTTTGCTGTGTATGACTGCAGTGTTTACTTTCTCAGTATAGAATATCATTTATCTTTCAGCAGGTTTAGGGTCTGATGGAGTCTCACACACACACACTCACACTCACACACAGCTGAAGAACACACTCATCCGTCACACTGATGATCCAGCAGAATGTCGACCGCATATGATCTGTCTGTGAGGAATCCTGCTTGTGGGCGGAGACAAACTCTCACAGCTCAGCGTCTGATTGGCTCCCGGATCCTGCCCTCTGCAGTGCAGCTCCGACAGGAAGAGACGCAGCAACTTCCTGTAGTTCCAGCGGGACAGAACCGTGCTCCTCAACCCATCCGCTGAGCCGCTCACCTGCAGGAAGTCATGGAGGCAGAAGAGGTCAGGAGGTCACAGCTGTAGATGAACAGGTGCGGAGCGCTGAGGATGATGGGAGAAACCGCAGATGATCGGAGCGACACCATCATCATCCTCATGGAGAGTCTGTGGACGGCAGACGGACTCACTCTCTGCATCACAGTCTGGAAACACAATATGTGACCCTGGAGCACAAAACCAGTCATAAGGGTCCATTTTTTTTATTTAGATTCATACATCACCTGAAAATACACAATAACATCTTTCCATTGATGTATGGTTTATTAGGATAGGACAATATTTGGCTGAGATACAACTATTTGAAAATCTGGAATCTGAGGGAGCAAAAAAATCTAAATATTGAGAAAATCATCTTTAAAGTTGTTCAAATTAAGTTCTTAGCAATGCATATTACTAATCAAACATTAAGTTTTGATATATTTACGGTAGGAGATTTACTAAATATCTTCATGGAACATGATCTTTACTTAATATCCTAATGATTTTTGGCATAAAAGAGAAATGTATAATTGTGACCCATACAATGTATTGTTGGCTATTGCTACAAATATCCCCCAGCGACTCAACACTGCTTCTGTGCTGCAGGGACACATAAAATATATAATATCATATAATAATATAATATAATATAATGGGGAGAGCAGGGTGAATTGAGCCAGTTTTTACTTATGGTTTGTTTAAAGTGAGCGCATGACAGTAATGAGTCCAACTTAGATATGTACATAGATTTCAGAATGTGGTGCATCCTTGGGAATATCAAGTATGGTGACCCATACTCGGAATTAGTGCTCTGCATTTATCCCATCCAAAGTGCACACTCGCAACCTTTGGGTTACGAGTCCGACTCTCTAACCATTAGGCCACGACTTCTCCAGAACTAGGCTAATATACTATATAATCATAAGAAGGGGCGAGGCACTCGCTCAACTTACCCCAGGACTGTTAGCTCAAATTACACCACTCCGACCATTTTATTAAACTTGTGTTGTCCAGCAGTTTAGGGCTAACATCATGCTAACAGTATCGCATCATATTTTAACCTCCTAAAGCACAAACACGTGTGATATATATATATATTTTTTAGATTTGTCTGTAATTGTTCAGACCCAGGAAGCATGAGTTCTTGAACCTAAACATTTTTTTAACTTAAATGTAGGTATAATATCATATAATATAATATAATATAATATAATAGACAAGACACTATATATATATAAATATATATGTATATATGTGTCACAAAATAAAAGACACTCTGCTTGCCTCTTTTAATCTCAAGCCTGTCAAACACATCTTACCAGCAAACATACACTTGTTTTCATCCTTCTCTCCACTCTCTCAGGCAGAAGTCTCTAAACTCATCAAACTACTACTTGTCCGCTTGATCCTATTGCATCTCATCTCCTTCAAGCCATTTCTCCTGCCGTTCTGAGTCCTTAGCCATCTTCAAGAAACGACTAAAAACACATCTGTTCCACCTTTATTTGACCCTCTAACTCTAGCATTTTCTATTCTTTTTTAATTCTACTTTATCTATATTTATCTTCTTTTTTTCATTTAAAAAAACTATATATATATATATATATATATACACCTTGCTACGTGTACTGCGTTAGGCTAACCGAGACTTGTCATTTGGACTTATATATTGTTGCTCTTTTGTTAGTTTTGACAGCTTTTATTGTCCTCTTTTGTAAGTCGCTTTGGATAAAAGCGTCTGCTAAATGACTAAATGTAAATAATAATATCATATTATTAGTATATAATAATATACAGTATATACAGCCATATACAGCCATATACAGATTTCCTAAAAGAATTTGCAGAAGATGATGCCAACCCTGAAACAACATACAGAACTACCACATTTTGCTATAAATTTGATTGCATCATATAATAATTGCTGTTAATAGTGTTCATCGTCTGTTTGATTACATCTTTAATTTAATTTTCCGTACATTTCTGCCATACGTACATTAACTGACAGTCACCACTGAT